TCTCACCTTCATTATGTGCTTACAGATAAATTCGTGCTAACAACTTTTTTTCCATTTTTTTGTTATTATTCTGTTCATAGAACACAGTCTGTTTAAATGTTGTGTAATCCTCTTTTTAATGATAAAGAGAAGAAACGAATTAATTGTCTATTAAGTCATTTAATCCTTCGACAATGCCGAATTCACATCGATGATTTATCAATAGGTTATTTGATAATATTGTTCCAAATGATTGTGAACTGAGTCCGATCTTGAGTTATGGAAGTTAATCATTGGTATCGTTGGAGATAGTTCTTCAGTCGATTACATCAAAGTAGTGAAAGAACGTTGTTATTATGCAAATGAATATGATTTGACACAAGATCTATCAGCATCTGTTCATCTTTATAAAACGAAATGGAATGATGATATTTTTTACCAAGTACTTAGTACTGCTCTTCATACAAAAAGATCAGAATACACTCAAACATTGATTAGCTGTTATCAAGCTCTTTAATATGTTCTGGAAACGACTGCGTCACTTCAAACAAAACATTCGGTCTAGACGAAAAATGCAAGAAAGGATACGTGACGTTTTATTCTCAGTTCGATTTTGGTACAATTTGATAAAGGAAAGGAGAATGATGAGAGCAATGACGTTGCTTTTTTTTTCTTTTACTATGCCTCGTCATCTAGGTATGTCCTTCGATCGCTCTTTCTTCCTTTCTCACTTCTGATTTGTTTTTCTGCTCACTCATGATTACATATGTATATATCATTCTTATTTAAATAAGGACCTTCTCACATAAAAAATTAAACAAAATGTCTTCGAAACAAATTAATATTTTCTTGACTGGTGTAACTGGTTATATTGGAGGCTCCATACTGACTGGTCTCCTTCACCATCCAAATGTTTCAAACTTCAAAATAACTGCTCTGATTCGTGGTGATGAAAGTAGAGTGAAAAAGATTGCATCACTCGGTGTTACTACTCTCATTGGTACAAATGATTCACATGATATTATCGAGAAAGCAGCAAGTGAATCGCATGTCGTTATTCATACGTCCAATTCGGCTGATGATATTCCGTCAACCAGATCGATTATTAGTGGTTTGAATAAACGAACTGAGACGACAGGAAAACCAGCTATTTATATTCATACTAGTGGTACTGCTGTTATTTCTGAAGATGTTCGTGGTAAGAAAGGCTCGAATACAGTCTACAGCGATCTTGATCCTGACAAGATCAATAGTGTATCCGACGAACAAGCACATCGAAATGTCGATCTCTTAATAATCAACGCAGCACAAGCCAATCCTCTATTGAAGAGTGTCATCGTTATTCCTCCAGCCATCCATGGCATTGGTACAGGTCTGTTTCATCGCTATTCTGAAACACTTGCAGCATTAATTCGCGCTGCCTTAAAACGTGACAAAGTAGAAATGATTGGGTCAGGTGAATCGAAGTGGAGCTACAGTCATATCGACGATTTAGTTGATGCTTACATTATTCTTCTCGATCAACTTCTTGCTGTCTATGGACCTAATGCCAAACCTGATGCGAAGCCCAGTTCATATCTAACTACAGGACGTGAAGGCTACTATTTTACTGAAAATGGACAAGTTTCGGGACGAGAAGTGTCCGAAAAAATTGGTGAAATTCTTTACAAGAAAGGTGTTCTCAAATCACCTGAAGTTACGAGCTTTCCCGACGATGAAATAGAAAGTGCTTTATTTGGTCCTTTCAGTTGGGTTTTGGGATGTCAGTCGAATTCCAAAGCCGAGAGATTGGCCAAATTAGGATGGAAACCTCATCGACCCAATATGCTCGACTGTGTTGAAGAACAAGTGGATGCTTTGCTCAATGATGCAAAGAATGGAGACTCTTGGAATAGGCGTCTTTTCGGACAAGATATCTCATAAACTTTTTTTTGCTCATCTTCTATAATTCATTTGTTTTTATTTTCATTTTGTCTACTTTTCTTATTCATATTTCAATAAAATCGTTAACATCTAATAAAAAAAATCAGTATTTAGTCATCCACATAAAGAAAGAAGGTATCAATTTGCTAAAAAGAAATTTATCTTTCAAGTTCCAAGTATTCTTCAATTGAATTCAAGTATCAAGTTGGGCATATATGATATTTAGATTCAAATACTAGTTTTATCCATGTGAAATGACCTACTCTACTCAATAGACAATGAGAACAAGAGGAAAAATTAAAAGCCGAACAAAAAAATCAGAAACTTCGTTTGTTATCTTATATTCGACTGCTGCAGCAACGATGCAAAGGTAGCTGATGTATTTTCGACGTACAAGATCCTCCAATTTGGCTCCAAAACTGACTATTCGTGTAGGAATGGTGTGGATGTTAGTGCAACAACAAGCATTATATCAACACCTACTTCCCCACAACGACACCCGCACCCTAGTTTTAACCTAGGAACTCCGATTTTTGATTATTTTTTCTGGCTCTTCACATCGACAAATGGTAAATGTAGTACTAGCTCTATCTTTGATACATTTCCACGTACGACACCAATTCATACTCACTGGTGTAAGCCGAAACACTGATAAATTAAATTAAAATCGATTAAAATCAGATTTATTTTGTCAGATTTTTTACATGGGTAATTAGAATGAAAGCGTTGAATGCATTTACTGTTTGACGACCCACTAACTGACGAAGAACAAGGGATGCAGAGAGTACCGCTTGGATTGAAATTTTTGGGCGACTGATTCTTTTTTCTCTGTCACTACTTATGTTGCTGGAAGATCATGCTTATTTATCTTTGCGTGTGTTTGAGATGAAAAAAATGAAGAGAATGGCTAACAGTTGATTGTGTCTAAAAGAAAATTTTTTTCGTTCTTCACTTCTTTCAATTTGAAGTATTTCATTTGTATAAAGTAAAATTGAATATGACATCGAAGTTTGATTTCTTAGATGACAGATGAAGGTGAGAATATACAATGTTGAATTGTGATAATTTTGACATGCGAAACCTTACTTCATATATTCGGATTGTATACGATATTAGATGTGTAAAACATTTCTTGTTTTGAATAGCATGATTGCAAAATAAATAAGAGAAAATGGTCTGCATGTTGTAAGCTGCATAGCTTCCCTTCGTGAAAGAGAGTGGATGAAATTACTACTTGTTTGCATGTATATGTTGTCCCGAAACCATATCAAATAACTGATTTATATGCAATAAGTTATTCTCGCGGTGAGAGCTTGCGTGCGTACAAGATTCTACGTAGATCGGTAAGTGTTTGTACAGAACAAAAGATCATTGTTGTGCCAACGAATAAGTGCAAATCAAGCGAAACAGTATTATGAACACATTCATTTAAGCCGTCAAGAACATAACATATACAGTGTACCTTAATTGAATTTCTTCATTTTATATTTCTTACTGTAAACTATTATAGTTTGCTTTTTTTTTTCAATAATGGGCACATAACGAAAAAGTACAGACATCACTACATCGCATGATACATTAATCATAAATAACTAATAAAAATCAAACAATACAGTATATCAGAAAAAAATAGGATATTTTTTCCATTACAATATATATTTCATCCGGATTATATAAAAATAAAATACTTATTTAAATAGAGAGTTGATCACAATATACATCAGATTCATACATAATGGCATATTTGTGGTATGTACTGCTGATTTGCTATCTCGATAATGGATACAAAGTGATGGGTGTAGTAACGGAAGATTTATTGTTGTGATTGGATAATGATTTCGAACGATTTCCTTACGAAAACCCCAAATTGGATTGTCTAAAGAGAGAAGATAAATATAGAATAGAGAACAACTTTTATATTTGATTGAACCTCGATCCACAACGTAACAAAATATGTACCAATTTCAAGCTGGATTTTTCTTTCGGAATATCTCTATTAATGATATACCATTGCTATGTTTTGTATTAGGCAGATTGACAGATTTATAATAATGAACTTTTGAATATTTAAAAAATAATTCGACTTATGTCTGTCAATAAGTACAAAAACAAGAGAAAGATAAAAATCTGATTTACTCTTACTGCAAATTGTAGTAAAAAAAACCATCTTTTTTTCTGATATACTTTTTATTGTTTGATTTTTATTGATTATTTATCATTAATATATCATGCGATGCAGTGATGTCTATACTTTCTTCCTATATGCTCATTACCAAGAAAAAAAAGTAAACTATAATAGTCTACAGTAAGAAATACAAAATGAAGAAATTCAATTGAGGTACACTGTAAATAATGAATACTAATAATCTATAGAAATAAATTTGAAAAATATAGATCTGTGCAATATTTACCCAGTGACATAAGACGTGACTAGTAACAAGGAATACGACGAGAAGGTTTGAATATATACTGATCAAGCTCGACATCGTCTAGATACAGGTGCGAAGAAAAATTTTTGCTGATTACTAAAACTTTACTCTTAAAATGATGTTTCTACTTATCTGAAGTTGAGTACAACCTCTAAACTAATCCTAAATACTGCTCTGGTCATAGATAGAAGCAGACTATTCTTTGGAGTACAGATGTTTTCATTAACTATAATGATACTTAGTCCAAAACGGTGTCAAAATGTAACACAACTTTACTTCTGTTATGTATGGGACCCAAATATTATTTTCAGTCGTTTCTCGATTTATGTTACAGTTAGGTACCACAAAACTGTTCATTTTTACGATCAACTATAGTTGTGATTTGTCAATAAAATGTGTGGTAGTTAGTCGGCTGTCTTCACTTCTGGATTCTTGTGATGAACCTATTCTTATTTTCTTCAGAAAGAATTTGTATTCATGAATTGATCGAACTATATTTAAGAATAATATTCACACAATTTTGATGAATTAAATGTAACTTTAGGAAAGTCTATTCGAATGTGGCGGTTAAAGTCAAAATACGTGTACAATTGTATCATCTGCGAGATTATTGTCGTTACTACCATATTTTCAAATTATTACTTCTGCAAGACTTCATCGATACTGCCAATGCTGAAAAAACATGATCCAACACCCGTAGCGTATATTATTACAGTTCCTGGTTATGATCAACGAGTAGCAAGTGTTATGGATCTTTTTAAAAAATACGCTCATATGAATCTTCGACGTTTCGAGGGCATTCGATTTTCTCATCAACTTCATGGAAAAAACAAGTCTCTGACACTCGGAGAACAGAGTCTACGAGCGACAATGATAATGTTCTACAGCATGATGGTTCGTGAAAATCATGAAAAAGTATTCGTGTTTGAAGATGATGCGATTCCACATCGTAATTTCAAAGCATTGTTCAGGGAATTGCCTCATCGTTGTGTTGAAGCCGACGTTCTATTATTAGGAGCCACTATATGGCATACAAAGCATACAGATTGGCCCAGTGGAGCGTGCTTCGATGCTAGCCGTGCAACATTTGGTGCATTTGCTCTCTTGCTTAAAAGAGTATCCTACCGTCCTATTCTTCAATGGTTACAAGCTAATACGTCGGAACCGTATGATCATGTTTATCGTCACTTACAACAAAAGAAACTCTCTGTTCGAGTAGCATTTCCTCCTTTTCTAGTTATTCCAGATATTTCGCATCCATCTTTAATCAATAATAATCGAACTGCTATACAATTCGATGTTAGCAAACGAGCTGAAGTGCATCTTTGGCACTTGAAAGATTATCCAATGGTTCAAATACCGACTCAGATTATGAAGACCAATGTATCGAAGAGGCCAGACTTTCCAGGAAGATAGTGAATACACACACGTAAGCTAATTTAAAAAGAGAATCGACAATCAGCTGTACCATTCAGAAAGGATTCAAGAACAACATGCTATGGTCAGACTAATTAAATTATCAAATAAAGTCTTTTGTTTCCTTTCAATTGCACTTATGATTCTGATTTCTTCAATTTGATACTCAATGTAGTGTATACTGGTGGTCAGGATGTGGATCAGTCTAGATGGATGTACGAGAGGCAGGGTTGAATCCGAAAATGGTAAACGATCGGCTCGGTTCAATCCAGTAGAAAATTCATTACCAATCGCTAGACACAACTTTTCGATATCGACTAGTATGAGTCTTTGGAGTTTTTTTGCATGTTTTGTTCTTTAAATAGTACATAAGAGTGTCTTTTTCGTAAATGAAACGCTTTTAATGATGTCAAAGACTATTTCTATGAGAAAAAATACAATAAACTATTCTATTTAGATAAAATTTATAATAACTTGCTTATCACATTTTATCAATCTACTTTTATATCAAAACAATTGAATGATAGTTTAGTATTGAAGTTTACCATATATTTACTTATGTTTTTCCTAGTGCTTATGGATATATTTTGCACAGACACAAGAGATAGCAAAGCGAATAAAACCTGGGAAGTAAATTAAATATACAACTATGTTCGTGGAACTAATTTGAATTATGCATATTTTGATATAGGAACAAAAAAAAATTCATTTATGCAGTCGTTCGAATATGAATCCATTTTCTTTCAAAATAATTTTCATGAACTTTATCATTTGAACTATACGCGATTTATGTGAACAATTCTTTTAAAGAAGAATTGAGCTCTCTCCAAAAGTTGTTGTTCTATTACCGGTAACAGTATTCTTCAAACAGTTTTATTGTAAAAAGATGGTTACTAAATATTAGTTTTTCTCAAAAGAATTGTAAATATTTTGTTATTTGACCCCTCATTTTTATCTCCTGATAATCAAAACGATAGAAATATATTTCTTTAATTTTTTAATGATCACACATTCCTTATCTGTTTTCGTGTCAACTATATTTAAAAAATATAGTTAATGCTATACTTCGAATAGTAATAAAACTAGGCACTTTGATGCGACCACAGGTTGTTAGAAGGATGTTACATCTCTAGCAACCATTTAGAGCTTGACGACACTATTTAAGACTATTCCATTGTGTTCTCAACATCGTTGCACATAAATGTGTATAATAAAAAATACAATGTGTTCTAAGATGATCCTATGTGATTGAAGTATCATTTTTTGTCAAAAATTATATTTTTATCAGTTTATGATAACTACAGCTAAGTGAACAAATAAATTAATCCAATATAAAATCATAATGATAGTGATATGCAAAATGTTTTTGAATGTCATCATTGTAATGTTAGGTTTTTTTTTTATTTCGTTCCTCATGACGCAAGAATTTCTTTTCTTCATCTTCACTCTTTATCAATTACTCTAGGAAATTTGCAGGTTCCACTGCTTTTTTCTTCAAAAAGAAAAACATATCAAATATCAGATTTTCATTTATTATAAGTCATAGAAGATAATAAACAAACTATTTCTAATGTGAACTAGATTGTTAATGATTTAAAGATAGTTTGTTCATCAAGTAAGACGAGAATTTACAAAAATCATAGGATAAAATTAGAGATATCTTATCAAATAATACTACTACAGAATATTACATAAAGCAGGTTCTTCTTTTAATCTTGATTGATTGACAAGTTTTTTCAAACCACTCAAAAATCGACTATATTCATCGAGATGAAAAAGATCTTTTCCAATCTTATTTCTCAATCGATTATATTCTTCTTCAATACGTAATGGTGAATCAATAATTAATTGTCCATAAATAATAAGTTGAGATCCATCAATAAAATTCAATGCATTTAATAAATAATCAGATAAATGATTTTGTTGAAACCAATATTTTATGTCATTACGTGTCCATTGATCAGGTAATTTAGTTGATATTGTTTGGGCATCATTTAATGAAAGAATTGATGTAAATGATGATATTAAATTAGAAAATTGTTCTCTACTTACACAATGATCACGCATTCGATGTTCATATTCATCATATTGTGCATCATCATGTGATAATAACTTCATATATGTTAGTAAAGCTCGACCAGATGATAGTTGAAGAGTAGATGGTGGTAAATGAAGCCATTGTTGTACTTCTTCACAAGTCCATTGTTCGATTGGAGAAGTAGGTATTATGTCTGATACAGTAAGATTTGATTGTAATTGTATGTCAGAAATTTCTATAATTGGATTGGTGTTTACATGTAATGATGATGTTTCAATAGTTTGAATATTAGTAATTGTGTTTGAATCAATTTCTGATTTTGATTTAAGTTTTAAATGAGATTCATGTGAATAAGCAAGCTTGTTATTATTTTGTGGTACTTCATTTCGTACAGTAATTAAACCTAAAAGAGTTTCCATAACTTCTTCATCATTTTTCTCACCTCCAAAACGAACCCATGTTGCGGAACCAGCACGAATTTCAAACCAATCTTCTGGTATATAATCTTTTCCTATATAAACAGGTACCATACGTTTGTTACGTTTATCAGCATGAACGACTTCCCTTCGACAGCTTTTTGAACCACAATAATTTTCTGTTACAATCATTACAATAACATTACATTGAGTTATTGCTTTAGCAATTTCTTCCCAATCATCTTCATATGGTGGTGATAATTTATTAAAATCTACCCAAATATCACCTTGATAATGTTCTTGAATTTTTGTAACAAGCTTTTTACAAAATTTGGCGTCTTTATGTGAATAAGAAATCATAACTTTTATTTGATTATCATCATCATCATCATGATTATGATTATCTTCAATTGGTTGTATATCCATTTGTATACAATCAAGATTAAAAAGAATTCCTTTAGCTGCGCGTTTCATGTCTAATTCATATTCATCATTTGATTGATTTTTTGCTCTTTGTTCAACGAATGAAAGAAATTCATTATTTAATTTTAATTTAATAGAATATTCAGATAAAAAACTAATTGACCAAAATATTGTATAAAGTGATGAACAAATAATTGTATTAAGTACTGTTGATTCACATATGTTATTAAATAAAAGAAATTTTTCAATAAATAATTCATATATATTGTCACGTGAAATAATATAAGTAAGCAATGCATCATTAACAACTAATTTAACTAGTCCCTCTAAATATTCACAAACATTATATGGACCACAGGTAAGATCAACAGAATCAAATGCTTTCATTGTTTGTTCAAGAATATAATCAAGAATTGTTTGAATATTAGAGACACTTTCATTTTTTAATTCCTTCGGTTCCAATAATTTTGCATAAAGAAGATAATAAGCCATACGAATATCTTTATCGTCTTCGTTATAATCAATAACTGACGATTCGGATAAATATTGTTCTTTCCATTGCTTAATACTATCAATCATTTTTAATTCATTTAGTGCTTTTACACCAATGGGATGTCGAGCTAGATTATGTAATATATTAATAATGCAAGACCATGATTCAAGAGAAATATATTTTATATGATCTCGTTCAATTGATATCCATTGTAAAATAGCATTTGGATAACCAATTTGAACAAAATAGGGAACAAATCCATAGATATCTGTCATGTTAAGAATCCATTTAAAAATTGATGTATAGACTTGAGATTGTTGATCATTATTTAAAAAATAATTATTTATATAAGTTATAAATGCTTGTAAAAGTCGTTCGGTTGAATTATTTAATTGAAAAAATGTTGGAATATTTTTATGTGAAACAAATATTGAATAAGAAATACCTCTTCTTGTATAAAGCGATCGTGCACCAATAGAAGCAAACAAATGAAGAAAATATTCATCCATATTTGATAGAATATGTTTTTTATTAATAAGATAATTAATTGTTGAATCATTAATTAAATAAGTAAGTGATAAATCAAAATAATAATCACATAACACTGGATATATTGCCATATTTATATACATTTGAAAACGAATTGCATCGAATAGAGCTTCTAAGAGATTAGATGGAATTATTGAAGAATATCGTTTGATAAAATGAGAAAAGGAATTTATTTCAAAATAATTAAGAGTAGACATCCGTTTCTGATTTTCATCAATTGTTCTTATATCCCATTCATCATCGATTTTTTGCAATTGATCACGAAGATTAATTAATGGATGAGACTCGATTTTCTTCAGCATATCATCGTGAAATAGAAGAGTTTCTAGTTGATGAATACAATTAAATATTGGATCGTTGTTAGTAGTCATACTGCTCGCACGAAAACAACAAATAATCAAGTGTACGTTTTTTGTCCTTCGTTTTTTTTTCTTTCTACAAATATGAAAGGTATATTTCATTTCAACGACAGCATGTAAAGATAATTAAACGATTTATGCGCCTGATAAAAATATCGTTTCTCCTTTTGCACTGAAGAGAATATTATAGAATACGACACTCATTATTTATATTAACCCTTTCGGGACGGGTGGTACACCTTATATACCACAGCCTTTTTTTTTAAAAGAAACATGTTATGTATTGACGATGGGAGGTAGTTGTGTACGCATTAGAATATGCTTATAGTAGTGATGTATATCTAATATGACTTGCATGATTATACCCTATTTTCCACCTTTTCTTCTCTACATCAACCTATCATGATGTACCTTCCCTGATTTATTTTCTCGCATACGCAGGTGCGCGTGGTGTTGTTAGGTGGCATCGTCATTTATACATTATCCTTTTCTTTCTATGATCACCATGATGTCATCATATATGTGTATTTTTTTTTTTTTTTTTTATTATGCTCGTGAATGTAACACTCGGAAGTGCTTACATAAGAAAAAGAGAAATATATATGTATAAGCGAAAAGCAGCATCATTAAAGCAAAGCGTTACAATTTGTGCCAACAATATATTGTGCTGCGTACCAATTTTTGCTTATAGAGATATTTAGGGAGTAAATAAATGAAAACAC